CGTTAGGCTCGTGTTGTGTTCAAGGACCCTGACCTTGGCCAGGAAAAACAGGCACTCGCTTTGTTTAATTTGTTTGCGGTCTAGATTTCTTGACGTATTATTTTAAGCAACACATTAAGTTGACGAAACACTCAACTCAAATGTAATAAAGTCAGATCCCCTGGTGTCTTAGATGGGGCAGTATCATAAAACTGTTGTACTCTTTCAAACACTGTAGTTTATTTATTAACCAGTTGTTCTGTATTCTCCTTGCAGGTGCAACTCTGTGGCTTGTATCCTGGATTATATGTTTAAGTCATCATGGATGTTTAAAGTTCATATTTGTCTAATATTAGTTTACTTTTCATTAATGAAGTATGACGCTGCGCTGTCAGTACACTTGTCCCTGTTTGTGATTGGTTCAATGTAGCTAACCCCGCCCCTTTCACGTGAACGCGTTCTCAGCTGGAGAGAGAAACCCTGGATTGATTTACCGAGTTGATAACCAGCGCCGTAGGACCGTTTAGCGAGATCGCATTTGTTAGGGTTAGTTAAGATAACTCAAGCATATCCAGGGTCTGTTGAACTGGCTTCGTGGTACATGGCACAGGTGGCTGCATAGCAGCGCTAATGTCAAAGACACAAACATTATACATTATATTTTTCTTTTACCAGGATGCAGTGACAAAAATATTTGGGAAGGCTTAGCCTTCCCTAGCCTACAGTACCCGCCGCCCCTGGGGGAAACGGTGGACCTAGTGTCCCGATCGGAGTGGGAATAATCATAATAATCATAATCTGTGCATTTTATCCATTAATTTCCCCAACATTGTGGTGAAAAACCCACACGTTTAATCCATGTTGGTGTACTACAACTACAAAAAGCATCGGTTTGTTTTCTCATCAGGAAATGCAGACCGGCTCAAACAAACGATGTTTAATCATCATTCTCACGATCATTTAATGTATCATATGTTCGCCGAATTGACATGAAAGCACTAATACATGTATTTTCATCCACTTGAGTTTATAACTACAAAAATAATCGATTTGTTTTTATATCACATCCTACGGGAGGAAATTCAGTAGCTCTCACTACCGATTTGTAATCCTAATTTAATCATCATCTTCACCACGATCATTTATGTTTATGTTCGCCGAATTGACATGAAAGCACTGACAAATATGAATATACTGTAGTCAACTTCATTAAAACGTTATTAACGTGCCTAAACTCAGTAATTCACCATTTCTACGCATGACAACACACTTTGTCCGTGTTTGGCTCTCTCGCCGCACAGTGAAGCGTTCCCGCATTGACGTCACTTCCGGCTTCCCCCAAAACTTCAAAATGAGTCGAAGGAATTTCCCCGCGATGTTCGAAATTATTGATATTTATCGGAACGGTATCGTACCTTCTTTTTTAAGCTGACGGTTCGAGATGACTAGTAGCCCAATATTTCATTGCGCAAACAGTTGTTGGGAGGCTGTCACAGGCTCTTTAAGGTCAGAGGATCAAGTGAACGTTTCCTGGCAAATCCTCCAAACTGACTGTGCCATTTGGTACGATAACACTTACTTCTGACATTGTATTGCATCACATCAGCTCCACTTGCAACATCAACAAGAACACATATGAAGACAAGATACAAGGGGACAGACATTACCATCACTGAAGAGGACATGCTGAAGACCCTCTAAAGTACATTTGTCCTGGGATTTAGCTCTGTATTTATTGTCGGACTTTATTAAGTCTTAGGATCCTGTATTTGATGGTTATAATTCATATTCACTGTTCAGGACATGGCTGTGGTCAGAGACAATGTTAATATGTCCTGATGGTAGGTTGATTCATAGAGTCTCTCAAAAGGTTGACCGATAATCTTGGAGCAGACTTTCAATTGGTGGAGCCTCCTCACCAGCAAGGCTATCGATTCAAAATGGACACTGATTTTTTGTAAAACACAATAAGACTTTTAAAAAAAGAGACATTGGATGACTCCAAGCTTTTGTGTCTTTGTTTTACCTGCAACATCCACATCCTTCAGGGAACAGTTTGAACACTACAATGTGTTCTTCAGTTGAACCAAATGTTAAGTTGTTAAGTCTTCTCCGCGATAAATCTATAGATCCTTCAAACCACTGACACAAACATGTATAAAGTACACGATGTGAGCACAGTGGTGTACTTTTTGCCTGTCAAAGGTCCCATGTCATGGCCATTTCTACTGATCATAATTCCATTGTTGAGGTCTACTAGAATAGATTTATACTGTGCAATTTTACAAACTCACATTGGTTTCTCAAACAGCATCTCTGTATAGTATGTGTATTCACTCTCTGTCCTAAACGCCTTGTTGGAGCTCCTGCCCCCCCCCCCCCCCCCCCCCTGTGAGCCCAGTGTGCTCTGAATGGTCAAGCGACGTGCAGCTGCTCGTGAGGAGCTGCTGTGAGGAGCTGCTGTGAGGAGCAGACAGGGCTTCCGTGTCGGCGAAACAAATACAGGAGAACAAGCTAAACTCATCCTGAGCACACAAACACTCACAGCCGAAGTAAAAACAATAAGTGTGGCTTGATATTGAGTAAGAAAAAGGTTTATAACGCTGTGAGAATGGGTCTGCGGAGAGCATTTCTCCGCGATCCCAACTTAGCATCCCGAGAAACGTTTACCCATTTAAACAGTCGTGGTAGATACCTTGTTTGTTTTAAACATCATAAATACACAAACAACAATGAATACTTACAGGTTGTGTACCCGAATCTCCCGCTGGTCCAAACAAAGTAGGAACAGCATCGTTCTTCAGTGCCCTACGCTGTACATATCCGGCATGCATCGCTGAAAGGTTTGGGAAGCTTTGTTACGTGAAAGGCTGGCAGAGGGTGCGGCCATAGCTCTGGGCGTGGCTACTGGGTATCCCTACGTAGCGATACCCAGGAAGAAAATGAGAAATCTCCAACGAGGCGTTTTGGGGAGGTCTTTTCTGTGTTAGAGTTTTACTCGCTACAGGGTGTACTTTGAGGGTTGTTGACTCTACAGACCGTTTACATGCATAAAAACCTTCATAACACACAAGGGGACGGGTAACAACCGGAAAAGCATGACATGGGACCTTTAAAGGACGTCGGCCACCAGAGGACTGCAGAACTGTGATTCCACATTCACACCTACAGCATGAAGTGATGTGTAGTCTCCGTTTGGTCTTGTCTCGTTGAATCTGTCACCCTCTCCATGGCCTCAGAGTCCAGACCTGGGTCAGAGTGAGAAGTGGGAAGCAACAAAGAAACGTGTTAGTCCATTTATTTCTCAAGTTAAACACTTCCTCCAGGAGTCAAATGAATTCAAGACTGCAGAGCTCCTTCTGCTTAGAGGAGGTTTGTCTTTGCGGTGAATTGACTCACTCTACAACTTCTTTACTTAAATACCAGATTATGTTTTAGTGAAGCTTATAGCTGAGAGTTGATAAGCTGTCAAGAGATTCAAAAAGACAGGAATCAACCTAGAGAACACGTTTATCACAAACTAAAACAACAAGTCCCAGATCATTCCTTTAATTGTATGATCTTAACACCTTTTTGACCTCCTTAATAAGGAACTCGAGAAACTCATTGTGGACTCATAGGACCTTGGTTAATTAAGTTAATTAAGTTCCAGGGAAAATATCTTACCAAATGTCAGGGGTCAGTACTTTGTAAAAGGTCAGGAACTCTGGGGTAAGGCTTGCAGCTTAGTTCTTGCTATACACAGAACAAAATGAACTTCAATTGTTTGTCCTTCTTTTATCTGCATCTGAGATGTTGGCTGGGTACCTTGAGATCATCTTGGCCATCAGTCATGTGGAATGTGAGCCTGGTCATAGTAGTCTAGTTCACTTTATTAGGTTAAAATAGGTTTTCAAGCAAGAAAATAACCATTTAAATTCTCAATTTGTGGTCAGTGTATCCCATTAACGCCTCTTTTGGATAGGTCTTGCAATATTGTTTGATGCATCAGAGCGCTGGCCAGGTGCTACGAAACTGGCCCGTCAGTAGTATTACCCGAAAACGGCATGTAAAAAATCCCTCACATTTCCATTCATCAGAAGGCCGCAGTACAAACCCAGACAACAATGGCCTGAAGGAACCTTTTACTTCCTAGTAAACTACTTCCTAGGACTGGGCTGAAATTAATTATTCTTATCAGATCTTCCTGGAGTGTTTTGTTCCATTCTGGGACAGAAAAGAGATCAAGTGTTGACCCTCTGTGGACTAACCCCACCCTCTCCTCACTTGCCAGCCTTGTTGACCTGTCTGTGTGTTTGTAGCACTGACCCACACAACCAGATACAGAGTAAACAGAGATGCTATCTGAACACTTATGAGGCTCCCGAGGTAGACATTTCCACTTCCAACATGCACTGACTGCACATGCAGATCATCAATATGTCATGTCATGTGGACCAATCAAAAACAAGCATTGTTCAACAGTCTTATCCACATAATACAGCATATGTTGCTGTAACAAAGCCGTTTCTGTAAGTGGACAATATGCTTTTTTACGCCCACATACAACCTCCTTGTTCGGGGTTATGATTTCCTTTGACTCTCATTTCATAATTCAGGTATACCAGGTCTTTATTATGAGAAAATGCAACATTTTTAAAAACATATTTTTTATATTGTCTTATTTATTTATTATTTCTACTGTTGTACCGTAATACTTAGTTTTGCGTTCTGAACTTTTGGATAATTAATTTAGTTTTTATTTTATTTATTTTCTTGCCTATTTTACCTCCTTGTACTCCATGATATATTTTAAATCATGAACATACAGTATGCTGCATGCATGCTAAAAGTTTTGAAGATTTGACGTGACTTGAATGTCTTGTTTCCTGTTTGACTTGTGTTGTGTGATATATATCGTTAAAGTACTTTGAGCTGCATCCGTATGAAATGTGCTTTTCAAATAATAGGAAATGTATCATTCTTATTAACTATTGATCTGAATTTTCTCAACAACTCCCTCTTCCTCTCTCTCCCTGCAGCGGCCATTTTGGACCATCAGTCGGCATGTGGTCGTGGTGAGCGCATGGCGTTGGGCCTGGCGAGGGAGAACATCAACAGTATGATGGACGTGTCCTCCAAAGCCAGGGTGGAGGTGGACATGTACGAGCTGCAGAAGGACTCCCAGTACGACACCACTGACACCAGTACGTCACTGTCTCACTCTTCTTTATTTTCTCCATCAACCTAATAGTCTGCAAGCTCATAGTCCTGTTATGAACCCGGAAATACCCAATTTCACTACCCCAAAGTTTTATGCTAGAAATGTATAGTAGGCTGTCCAGCACATAGAAACTGCTGGATGCTAACTCGCATATATCTGGCAATTAGTACAATGAGCATAAGTTGCACTAATAAGCATTAGTAATGACATTATAGCCTATGTGGACAAAAGTAAAAAAAATGGCTTGGCCGATTTGGAGAATTTTAGAGTGGTTTTGGGGGTTATTTAGGATGCTGAATCCATTTCCGATGTGTTTAGGATAAAAAATGGCCGTTATAACCGGAATGTGGCCATATTTGTACTCTGGTAGGGCTGATTCTGATATTTGTTGGTCAATTCCGAAGATTTAGGGGACTCTGGGTCATTTGGATTGGACAGATTGCCTATTTTTCGGAAAAATTGTCCACAGCAGCGGTAATAATTTCCATTTTGTGCTATCTATATCCAATGGTAGCAACACTACTCATGGTAGTCAAAATCAACCCACCGAGAGAAAAAATATGGCCACTTTCTGGTTAAAACGGCATCCTCAATAACACCAAAGCCATCTTTTAATATTATCTACATAAGCTTTAATTTCATTAATGATAATTAATGCAATTTATGCTAATAGTCCAAATTACCCAACATACGCAAGTAAGCACCCCACCCCCCCCCCCTGGCTGCAGCCCCTCTTCACTCTGACATTAAGGTAGACTTCTGGAAGCGCTCTGTGTGAGGAGGCAGACCTTTATTTAAAAAGGCGGTCAGAAGGTGCAGCTGTTGTTCCTTGCTCAGTGAACTTTAAATACCACACATTAATGCAGCCGCCAGCAGACAAACACACTTTACAGAGAACATCTGATAGTTAAATAGACAGACAGACAGACAGACAGACAGACAGACAGACAGACAGACAGACAGACAGACAGATGTCTGTGACTTTAGAATTTTTTTAATAATAAAATAAAGTAAAACTTTGCAAATTTCAAAGACAATATATACATATTCTCAGTTAAAAATAACTATATTAAGAGGATTATCTAAACATTATACAATATACAGAATACAACAATACTCTCTTACCCGGTATCACAGCAAGACGTGAAGATGTCACGATTTCGTCCCTTCAAACGTGACATTTACACAGTATTGTTAACATGACCCAACCAGTGGAGAAATACCCAGAAAAGCCCAGCAAATGCTCTACCACGATGGTTGGTTGTTATTGTCAATATTAATATAATAATTATTTATTTTGTAATAGTCACACTCAATTTCGCCGATTTTCTTGTTGCCCCAACTGGTCGACACCTATTTTAGCATAAACAAAGGCTACATTAATGTATTAAATCGATGTTAATCCATGTGTGCGGTTGTGGAGTTAACGGACGTGACGTTGTGCGATTGCGTTGCCAGGATACAGCTTGGGTTCATGTTAATTTACAAACTCTTCAACTAGAACCCTAGTTATATTTAAAAACATTTTAGAAGGCCTCACGAAATACTTTAATGTAAATTACAATTAAAATGTGAAGGAATGTGTGTAAAGCAAAATATATTTGTCATAAACAATACCGGAAACAGACATACAGTAGGCAAGATCCTCAGCTCGGATCTTGCCTACGTCTGTTTACGTCAGCTTGGTGATTGGATGTTTTAGCCGCAATGCACTTTGGGATATGGTGTTTATGCGATGTCAAATCCGAATAAAAAAAATTATAATAATAAATAAAAATTAATTATAATAATACTTTATTCCGAGTGTGATTGCTTTTCTCTTTGAAAGTCATCACATAACGGCATTGTAATACACGGTTCGGCTGCATTCAATATGACACATTTGCCGTAGTTCTTTATTGATATAGAGCCCTGATGAGAAGACTTCTAGACAAATAGGAAGAACTGCCGCCGAAACTGAATACATGACGTGAATCATAAATATATCAGCAATTAAACAACATCTTCAATTTCTCTTCACGTATTCACCTTGCAGTATCAACACTAATTCGGCTGACTTTTATATTTGATCCAATTGGTAGATAGGCTATATTTACGCCATAACGGTGCACACATATATACACATATGTGTATACAATATGATGTCAAATCGGCGGCGGACCCACAGCACTATCAGAAACGTTGCTATCAGAAACAATGCCCGACTTTTTTGGACGTAATATGGTCGGTGTTTACATTAGCATCGCTAACACTCAGAGCTAACCTGTAGTGCACAGAGCATGTGTGTGAAGAAGGAAATAAAAAGGAACTCACCTTGTGGTATAACCGGCAAGAGAGAAAGCCTTTGAGCTCCATACTGTTTCAGAGATAATCCTTGATCTAATAATCCTTGCGTTTAATCACCGCAGCATTTAGACAGTATCTGCCAGGTCCCGCATGAGCCGCTAAGGCTCCGCCCCCTCTTATTTTATTTTATTTTCAGTAAAAAAAAAAGAAGCTTTTTTAAAAAAATTTAATTTAGCCTTTATTTATACAGGTGGAAATCTAATTGAGACACAGGGTCTCATTCTCAAGAGAGACCTGTTTATACCCAGAATCAGCACTTTTGTAACAGGAAGAGAAATAGAGGGATATGAGGCTAGAATGGGGCATCTGTTTGGTGTTTTGATCAAAACACTTCATAGACATGTTTTTTATATTTTTGTATATATCTGAGAGCTATGCTATTGCCTAAAAATAGCATGATAGGTGACCTTTAACCTGTTAAGCCCGAGAGACCCCGGTACCGGGGCCCTCCCGCAACATCTTGCAGGAAACAGTGTCTGAGGGCATCTTAACATTTAATAAACTATGAATGTTTTATATCCATGTAACGGGAAGAAACTCATCTAACTGATCATTTTCATTTTTTTTTCAAAAAAAACCCCACAATGCTAACGCTGAGCCTCTGAATTAGCAACAAGCGAAAAATGCTAACAGATTACTGCACCGAAACTCACTCGTAAAACCTTATTATTTATCCTTTCTGCACATCCAACACATCGATTTGCATCGTGAGATGACACAGAATCAATAGGTACATACATTATCACTCTGTCACTCACTCTCGCGACTTTATAAACAAAAACATGTGGCGCTAGGTGGCTAAAAAAGCTAACATGGCTTACCTTTGTCGTTGTCTGGTCAAAAGTGGTCTTCAATGGCATTCAAACGATAAAAACGCTGCTGAAGTTAATCCATAGGTTAATCCAATGTGTCTGTCCCTTTGAAAAGATTTCTGATAATCCATGAGCAATAAACCTGCTTTTCCGTTTCCGGATGTCAGAGCGAGAGATAGGTTCACTCTGATGCAAACCTGCATGCACAAAGCCCCCACCTTTTTTTTACCATGTGTGTGTGGGGAAATTCCCCTTAGATTCCATTGGTTCTAGCGGTTATAAAGAGATTTAAATCGACCAAGGGGGGCCAGAGATATGGAAAATCCACCCAAATGACCCCAGAAGTGGTTTTATTTAGCTAAATCCCTCTAAAAAGGTCAGATTTAACTTGTTTTGCATCAATTTTGATACAGGGTACTTATTATATGTTGTACTTTGGATTCCTAAAGCTTTTAGTCTACCTTACCATCATCCAAGGGTAGTTTTCACTATAAGTAAAAAATAAATTTTGGACGGACACTATAATTTACAGTTTTTTACTATGTTCAATCTGAATTTTCTTTAAAATAAAAAACATCTATATTGATTCTGACTTTTCTACATCCAACTCACAGGTTTATCATTACTTTGAGAAAAAGATTATTAATTTAACCATTTTAGAAGGGAAGATATGGTCATTTGTTCTGGGAATGTCATTTTCTAACCTGAGACCTGAAAAACAGGCTCAGGGCTTAACAGGTTAAGAGAAGTGAGATGCAGCCTGGGTGTGGTGACCGGAGAGCTCTGAGAACAGACCTGAGGGCAGCTGAGAGGGTTATTGATTATCATCTGACAGCAGAGCAAAGAGACTCTTCCCCACGGAGAGGGAGTTAGTGTTTTTGTCAGAGCAAACACACACACACACACACACACACACACACACTGTATATTCAGAAATCTGTGTACATTTGGATTAGTTTATTTGTGTTCCTTTCAGAAATACTGTAAAAATGACATTATATACTGCCCCCTTCAACAAAACATTAGTGCACTTCCACAAATAGGCAATGCTACAGTAATCACTTTGTAGTTAGCTAATCATCTATACTGAATGATTGGAATGTTACTTTACATTTACAGCACACAGGATTCTGGGTGCTCTGGGTCTCAGCCTGATGGATGCAGCATTAGGCATAATCTGTTTCTATTATTATTTAGAAATCAATCCAATGCTCTCCATAAACAAACACAAATATCACAGTCAATAGCGCTATAATCAATAATAAAAAAAAAAGTATACCAACAATGTAAACACCTAATAGTTATATTTTTAAATTCTCGCTTTAACCTGATTGAAAATGTAAAAATGTGTCCAATAATCTAATAACTTGGCCAATAATGTAATAAAATGTCCTGATATTGTAATGCATTTTTACCATAAATGAAACTGAATATAAAACAGTGGTTCTCAAACTGTTTTGGTCAGACCCCTTTCAAACTAGTTAACACATGTTTGTCTGATAACAACAAACCACTGGCCATCTGTAGTAAATGACCCCCACTGTGCCCCCCCTGCTCAGCAGCAGACACACAGACATAGTCTGGCTGAACAAAGCTGAGCATACAGCTGCTAAAGAGACAGATGTTTGCCTTAGGAGGCGGAGACCAAAAACAGAGCAAAGAGGAGAGGCAATGTTTGACTTGTTCTGTGTCTAAAATGTTCATACTTATGTACTTACATGAGCTATTTAAGTGAATTATTAAGTCACAATGCAAAGTGTGACAAAATGCACTATGAGTACCAAAAAGTTGAGTGTGGAACACTTGACACTTCTAGCACTCAATGATAGCTAACTTTGCTACTTATAATACAATACAGCTTTATTTATAAAGCACTTTAAAACCTGCAGACTAAAGTGCTTAAGTGTACTTAAGTGGTGTTTAGAGTCGGCGAGGTCCTGATAATTTATTCCGGTAAATTACTCTGACCTACTAATTGACCTTTCCGAAGTTATTGAGTCTATGTAAGGTTGCTGCTTGGCTCAGATCCACCAACGTCAGCAAGATCTCACCTCTATAACTCCCCGAAGAACCTAGGTTCAATTAACTGCTGTTTCAATTCAGACAACTCTTTTTTAATCTGTTTAAGGGATCCCGAAGGATTTTGATATCAGTAAATGGAGTGTGGTCCTACCTAAGTGTGAGTGTGGCAGGGTGCAGTCTTACCTTTGAAGCAGGAGAGGAGTGCACAGGTTGTCTTTTAAGTTATCCAAGTCCAACAGGTGGGATCAGTTTATTTGAAGAAAAATAGGTCCAAACTAATACAGGGTTTTTACCTTCTCTCTTTACAACATTATAATCATACTAAAAAAATGGTGCTGTGATCATGTTCTAATATGAAACTTGAATTCACAGTCTTACCTTTATTACCAAAATCTTTAATTTCAACTGCCCAATTCAGTTGTGACATTTTAAAATCTCCCGATAGAATTTAGAGGTATTTCCTCATAAAAAGACCGGTGACAATAAAAAGCGCATTCAACTTTTCATTCACCAAATCAATTCACATCAGTTTCATACCTTTTTTCCGACACAGACGGCGGGTATAACATTCAAAAACCCATTCCTATCCGCCAAGGTTTCGGAGGAAGATTCCTCACAGGTCGCGGATTATAATATTCATACACTTTTTCCGACACAGACGGCGGATAAACATTCAAAAACCCATTCCTATCCGCCAATATTTCGGAGGAAGATTCCTCACAGGTCGCGGGTTATAATATTCACAAACACATCTCTCATCAAATCATTCCACTCAGCCAACAACCAAGAAATTCGAGAGATATTTACCACGTGTGAGAGGACCTTACAGAGAGCTATTAACCCAGCTCTGAAGCACAAAGCCTACCGGGAGAGAGTCTACCAGGGGAAACCCCCCTCTCTCTCGCGCTCTCTCAAAAAACCAGTCTCTTTATGCTCAAAAAACCGGAACGAAACCCCAAAAAAACAAACTCCTCCTCTACACCCAATTTGTGGAAAACTGGGCATGGCTTCTACTGTACAGGGCTGAACATGACCCGACATGTTCCATAGCTTATGGCATAAGACACACCTTCCCATGTTAGTGTAAAAAGGACATGACCACTTTTTGAGGCCTCTAATGTGTTTCTCCTTAAGCCTGGAGCCCCCCTCCCTGTGAACTGCTGCCAGAGGAGAGGGAGAAAACGGCCTACTCTCTTATCAGAGACACCCATAAATCATAGACCTTACACACTCAACCTAAACAAACCACTTTGTTTTGTTTATACTGTAACTATAGAAAAACCTAAAATATGAAGCATTTTCATTGTGGGTTATACAAGAATATAATTGATTATATTTGATTATAACTAACTTTCGTTTTAAGTATTAAAGAATACTATGAAAACTCACAACAGTGGCAAGGTCCATAGGGACTGGAAGGTCACCAGTTCAAGTCCCGAAAAGAGCAAGTGCTACCGAGGTGTCCCTGAGCAAGGCACCGTTCCCCACACTGCTCCCCGGGCGCCGTACATAATGGCAGCACCAGAGTTCCCGTTAGCCGGTAATTACCGGACTACGACCAGTAAAATATGCTGAAGACATAATCGAAATCTCTCTGGTCAAAGTGTCCGTTCAAAATAATTTCCATTTAGCGCAATACCACATCAGTTGCGCAACTTGCGCCACTTATGTGACAGACAAGAAGAGTATGTGACGGACAAGAATAGTCAATTATAATGTCTAACACTTAATGTGGAGAAAGAGATGTCCTGTATGGGTTGATTGTGCGTTGATCTGTTGGTAATGCCTCGGGGTTCCGGTGGGCATGTAAACAAATGCATAATGCTGCGCTATACTTTGTGGCCTCACCCAGTTGCATAGCGACACTTATTGTTTAGGTGTCTTTTAATACGCAGGTAGTCATATCATTAGCTAGAACTAGCTGGATCTGATCAATATGGACATAAACGCGAGTGAAGTCTAATCTGACAGGAGAGAGAGATCAGCTGCTGCTGACGAGTCGACACGCAGCTCTGTATGATCACATGCAGCGGTGAGCGGACAAAACACACACTTCAGGTTAGAATATCACACGTAGCTATTTTAATTACCTCTCAAACTACCGTAACTAGTTATAGATATGTTTAGTTTCACTTTCGGGTCACTCGTTACTGGATCCGCGAGCTGCATGATACTGACGGGCTGTCAGGAGAGGGAGAGCGCTCCGTTTATTATTCCTGTGTTATTGTAAATTACTTAACACTTTTGAATAATGTAGTTCATCTACCATAATTAGTTTGTTTAATATCGAATCATATCAATTTGTTTTAAAGCTCAATAAATAACAAAGAAGACCTTTGACCGGCACTTGTCTAATTTTGTCCGGAAGATTTAAACTTTAACGGACATGTTGACCGGCGAAAAAATATTCTAACGGGAACTCTGGGCAGCACACTGCTCCTAACACTAGGATGGGTCAAATGCAGAATGTAGATCTTCCCTCAGTGTGACTATTAAGGGTATATAAATAAAATAAAGAATAATAATTGTAAGGGAAACTTCTGCAGCAATGGAGAGTCAGGACTCAGAGAGACACGAGGAGAGTTGGAGCTTTGATGTCAAACACTGGTAGTTTATTACAAGTCAACGGCCGGAGAATTCATATCACAAGTCACAGCAGCAAAAGGTTCTGACTGCACGGGTGGGTTGTCATGTCAAATCTGATCAGCCTCGCATCTTGGTAGACCTTTTAACTAGTTTACAGAGAGTCAAATCCACATATTGGGGATGGGCGTAAACATCTGCAGACACAGGAGATGTCTCTCTCATCTGTGGAGCTTAGCGTAAAACTCCCTATGTCCGCTAGGTCAAGCCATACAACTTATAGTATCAACATATGACTGCATTATCACATTCCTTACGGAAGATAAGGAGCAGGGCTGATCGTAAATGTCAACACACAGAAAATGTTAAATATCTTAGGAGTAAGAATTATTCTTTGACACTTAGGAAGAGAGAAGAAATATTCTCTAACAATAATAATGTAATTTGCAGCTATGAACAGCACAGCACCATACAAATTCAACCCAAACATGATTGTTTCACTAACCACCACACTAGATTTGAGAAGAAGCCAATGTTAATTTAATTAGCTGAGCAGTCTGTAAATATTTGCTACCACACATTTGCAACAGCGCTACATGGTTGAAATTCAGACACTGCCTGAGTGTTGACAGTGTATGACATGCAGTGTACTCAAGAGAGTATACACATTGAGACACAGCACTACGGTCATCAAAGGGAAACAGAAAGTCCATGAAGGATTGTTGCTCTGTGACTGTTTAGTTTGGAAATAAACAACTATAGCTATAATGTATCCAGTTGTTTCTACTGCCCCCACATGGCAAAACATGTTCTTGCTACTAACCTTTGTTTTCTCCATGTCTTTGCTGTTTTCTCTCGTAGTGTGTCAGATCTTACCAAAGGGCGTGGTTTCAGTGATTGGTCCCGCCGCTAGCCCCGCCTCCGGATCCACCATCAGTCACATCTGTGGGGAGAAGGAGGTGAGAAACATGCTTCTGCTTGGAATTAAAATATGCTCTGTATCAGAGTGAAGTCCAGTTGAGAAAACTAGTAATAAGTGTGGGATCTGCTGTAATCATTAAGCAGCAGATCACTCAGGACATTTCACCTCATTCATCATTTTTCTATTTATCAATCAACTTAAATACAGACAGTCGGCCTAAGATCTTTGCCCTGTGGAGTTTAAATTGAAACAGCTGTTAAACTGTCAGTGTGAAAAAACTCTTAGTAGCTACCTCAGATGACATATTGTGTTTGTCTCTCACCACCAGGGGCGGTGCCAGGGGGGTGCTGAAGCACGCCCCAGGATTGCCAAAAGCACCCCCTAAGCACCCCCAAGAAATATGTATTTTTTTCCCGAAAATTATTATTATTATTTTTATTAAATTAGAAAGATTATTGATTATATCAATGCAAATGTGAAACAAACACATTTTTTACCAAAAACATAAAGCCAACACAGGTGATATGATTAGGCCAATGGCCAGCACCCATTCGATTTTTGACCTACCCATAGGCTAAATTACTTTGTGACACTTGAGTGACTTCCTGTTAGCTAAGAGCGCCAAATTATTTGCTAACAGCAAAGTGAAACATTTATCGTTTTTTAGTCCTTAAACGTCCACGTGTGGACACTCAATCAAAACCAACTGAAAGCGAGAGGGATTCTGCACATAATAGGCCTCGTGAGTACAAGTAGCTTACTTCTGGGTCTCTGTGTTTCATTCAAGCTCTGCTCTGTGTGTGTGTGGCACGAGCCATTTTGTGTGCGTGCGCGAGCGAGAGAGAGAGAGAGCTCGCGCACCGGTGGGTATCTACTGGAGATCATTGTGGTTAGCATCTGGTACTAGCTAGCCAAGCTAACGGATATAAGGAGCTTTTTCAACAACAAGGTGGAGGGAGAACTCTCTCCTGTCAGACTGAGAGTCTCAGGTAACCTCAGCTCAGGTGAAGTAAAGGACTCTCTGTGTTTAGATAGTTAACTTTAGTCTAGTTATCTCAGTGGGTCTCAAACGGTTTGTTTTAAAAGGGGAGTGATTTGTAAAATATCTATAAAGAAATAGAACATCTGTTTACAGTTCTGTTTCATATGGGTGTTGAGAGATGTATCCATAGATCTCTTAATGTTGCTCTCAAAGTGCACCAGATTGATGCTTTTAACTTCAATATTTGAAACATGCCCCCGGACCCCACTAGAGGAGGTGAGGTCCCTCCTAGAGGAGGTGAGGTCCACCCCCCACTTGTAAAGACAGCACTTTACCCCTGCTTACACCTATATGCAGTGAGCTGATTACTGAGCCTTCATTGTAATAGTCGCGGGTGCACTGTGTGTGTGTGGGGAGTGTTGCAGTAGAACATTCAACTTTAGCGCTGGTGCATTAATGGGAAACCCTTAATGTTGAGCACCCTCTATGAAACGTCAAGCTACCCCACAGCACCCCCTAGAGAAAATCTCTGGCGCCGCCACTGTTCACCACACAAATATCATTCAAATATAAACGTATTGTTATATTGTACAGCTGACAGCTCAGCTGTCTGTATTTATCCGGATGGTTTTTGAGGATTTTACAGCGAAAGAGGAATTTCTGACACTGCTTCCACTCAAAACAACAAGAGGTGTGGACGTGTATAATTCTATTAAGAATTATTTCATAAATAAAGGCGTGCAAATGGAGAAGCTTGTATCTATAACAACTGATGGAGCCCCGGCTATGAGAGGTCGCCACAACGGTTTTATCGCAAATTGTAAGTCAGATCCATATTTCCCTCGTTTCTTGAGTTACCATTGCATCATTCACCAAGAAGCACTTTGTGCCAAAGTTATGGACTTCAATCACTTCAAAAATAATAAACTTTATCCGAGCGAAGGCAAAACAACACAGGAGCTTCAAAGTTTTTCTTGAGGAACTGTCAGCTGAATATGGAGATGTCCTTCTCCATGCTGAGGTCAGGTGGTTGAGTAGAGGGAAAATCCTACAGCGCTTCCTCTCCTTGCTGAATGAGGTAAAGCTCTTCATGGAAGAGAGAGGGGAGGACACCTCCATCTTATCTGATGCTGGTTGGGTACTTGACCTGGCCTTTTTGACTGATCTGACAGGAAAATTAAACCAGCTTAACCTCCAGCTACAAGGCAATGGCAAAACAGTATGTGACATGATTAGTGCTGTAAAGGCCTTTAAAGCAAATCTGTGTCTATATCTCCAGCAAGTAAAGGGAAAGAAATTGCATAATTTCCCCTCTGTTCAAAAAGTACTGCAGGAGAATAAAGCTGCTGCTGGCTTTCTTGACTTATCAAAATACTGTGACTGCTTAACTAAGCTTTGAGGACAGGTTTCTTGACTTTAAGCAGCTTGAGCCCTGTGCAAGTTTCCTTGCTAACCCATTCAACATCGTGGATGTTACTGACATGTCTGAGCAACTGGCCAGCCTTTTCAGTCTCAGTGCTTCAGAGTTGGAGCTGGAGATAATCAATCTCCAGAATCACATTCGGCTGAAAACACATCAGCTGGACGAAGATTTCTGGAAGCTATTGGACCCAGAGAAATTCAAAAACATTCAAACTGCTGCACTGAAACGGTCCTGCTTATTTGGGTCAACATATCACTGTGAATCAGCATTCTCTGATATGAACTTTATCAAATCCAAATTGAGGACAAGACTTACTGATGAACACCTCAATGACTCAATCAGAGTGAATTTGTCAGGATACACTCCCCAGTACAGTGCTCTGGTGGATGCTATGCAGTGCCAGGTGTCACATTAGCTGAGTCAGGAGAAAGATAACAATGCAGTGACAGACTGAATGTTTGAAGACATATGTTTGCTTGATGCAAGTTGAGAAAAGCACAAGCCATATTCCCCTTTTACATGTGAAACTAATTTGTGAAATGCTTGAAATAATTTAAACTATAGAGCTAGAAATGTTATTATTACAATTAGGAACTTTGCACTCTTATCTGTAAAACTGTTTACTGTAGTTATTGATGTTAAAGCAGAACTCAGTATTGCATGGTGATTATTTGTCTTTTTTTCTCTTCATGAGAAAGTCAAGTTTATTCATGTTAATGTTAATGTTTCTGCTCTTGAGTCACGAATGTGATATGTGCACTGAAATCTATATAAAATAACATGAGTAGCTCTTGGCCACTTTCTTTTTTCAAAAGTAGCTCCCGGTTAGAAAAAGGTTGTAGACCCCTGGTCTAGAGAATCTGAACAGCTCCTATCATGGCTTGAACAGTCCGCTGGCATCACAGGCTCTGCTCTTGCATGGTTCAGGTCCTACCTGACAGACCGCAGTTTTTCAGTGCAGCTTGGTGCCTTCTCCTCTGCAAAGGCCCCTCTTACTTGTGGGGTTCCCCAAGGCTCTATCCTGGGCCCCATCCTATTTTTATTGTATATACTGCCCCTAGGTTTAATCCTCACAAAACGTAACATTCCCTTCCACTGCTATGCTGACGATGTTCAGATGTATCTGCCTCTCAAAGGAAATGACAAACACTCACTACAGCAGTTGATGGATTGCCTGACAGAAATGAAGTCCTGGCTGAGCAGAAATGTTCTTAACCTTAACGAGAGCAAGACTGAGGTCATCTTTTTTGGACCCCAACCTCCAGCCTCTTCTGTTAACATTCTGGGTCCTCTTAAAACAAACATCCTCCCCTCTGTCATGAATCTTGGAGTGACCTTTACTAACACTTTTAAATTCGACAAGCAGGTCAGCAGCGTAGTGAAATCCTGCTTTTTTAAATTAAGAGTATTGGCCAAAACCAAGTCTTTTTTATCTTTTAAAGACCTGGAGAGGGTTATCAACGCCTTTGTGATCTCGAGACTCGATTATTGCAACGCTCTATACGTAGGTATGGACCAGGCCTCAATTAAACGCCTGCAGCTAGTGCAGAACGCAGCGGCACGTCTCCTCACCGGCCACAAAAAGCGTGACCACATCACCCCAATTCTGGCCTCACTACACTGGCTTCCAATTCTGTTCCGAATTGATTTTAAAATCCTTTTATTTGTTTTTAAAGCACTAAATGGGCTGGCTCCGGCCTATATAGCTGAACTCCTCCAGCGCTACACCCCAGCCAGAGCGTTAAGGTCTGCTGACCAGCTGCCTTCGCGGCGGCTGGCCCTAGGCTCTGGAACACTCTGCCCCTCCATGTGAGGTCGGCCCAGACCCTAGGGGTTTTTAAATCTAAACTAAAAACTCACTTCTTCACCCTGGCCTTCTAATCAGAGCAGAGCACGACTCATGACACTTCCCTGTGTTTGATTTTTATATTTGATGTTGTAATTTATTGTCTTCTGTTTACATCGGTAGGAATGTGTTATTTATTATCTGCATGTGCAGCACTTTGGCTCGACCGAAAATCGTTTTTAAATGTGCTATAGAAATAAAATTTGATTTGATTTGATGGCTGCCACTGAGGTACTTCCAGGTCATTTCACTCCGTTAAAAGCCATCACAGATCCAACTGGTGGAAAATGTAAACCATTGAAACTTGTTTCAACACAATTCACCATACGGATGTTATGAGTGGAAAACACCTTCACTACGTCATCATGGGGATTTTCTCTGGACAGATGACCTGGATAGGAACCAGAATGGATCCCTCACAGACCAGGGGGGGGGGGGGGGGTTATAAGTGGCTGGATCTGTACAGATGAGTGCAATTCCACATACAGTAATAGTATAAGGTTAAAGGTTTATGAAAAAGCTTAAAGCTTGCAGTGACCCTGTAAACTTTTTTCTTTAGTTCCACCATGAGACCAAAATAGTTCTCTTGAAAACAAGAATCTGATAAACTGCTCAAATTATTGTGAGCCAGAGGATTAATCATTTCACTTAGAAATTCCCTGAGCTTCTATTTTCCATTTAAAGCATGTTGGAATTGTTACATATTAATTATATATTTCTAAAACAGAATCCAATACTCCCTTTGATATGAATCTTTCATCTGAGTGGAGGTGAACAGAACTCTGTGATAACAGAATGGAACACTTTTCTAAGATCTCTGATGATCTGAGCTCTGCTCTCTTTTCAGATATTCTTTTTGAAAGCTGAACAAAGACTTGATTATCAGCGACAGTGTCAACGTCTGATTAAAGCTTTGATTCCTGTTATCTGAACTCTCTGTAAAGCCTGTAAGGTTTGATGTTGATAAAAAAAACACATTTGTTCACTTGATGTCATCACCTCATCATTTCCCCGTTCTCATTTTCAAAGTTTCCTCCCATTTCATGTCCTTCTCTTTGATTTTGTTCCCTTTCTTTGACTTTTCTTCCCATTTCATTATTTTCCCTCACAATCCATCATTTGGATCTCACATGAAGATTATCCAAAGAAAACCCTCAAGCTGACAACGTTTGTTTACGTAATAATTCCTCTTCCTCCCCCTCCAAACTTTTTAGATCCCTCACGTAAAGATCGGTCCGGAGGAAAACCCAAAGCTGCCGTACCTTCGCTTCGCCTCTGTGACTCTGTACCCAAGTAACGAGGACCTGAGCCTGGCCATCGGGTCCATGCTGCGCTCCTTCGGATACCCCACCACCAGCCTTGTGTGTGCCAAGGCAGAGTGTGAGTCTGTCTATGAAGTGTGTGTTAATGTCTCTGTGTGAGTGTGTGTGTGTGTGTCAGGGACCAGGCAGTAAGGTACAGATGTAGCACCTAATTTCAGACAATTTGAAATGCGAGGGCCGTGGCCGGCACGGGGTCTGCCCTCGCTCAAAGGAAAACCTCCAGCTTGACTTGAGACCGGCGGCCCCCTTGATAAATAAATGTAATTATAATGAAGCCAGCTGCAATGGATCATTGATCCACCAGGGGGTGCAGTGGGGTTCCACACTGGAGCTCATGTGAAATAAACTCTGATACAGTACGGTAGATTTATGTCTGGTACTACTGTATAGCGGATCTTTGTTAAGATCCATATGTCGCGGATAGGATCATACTCTGTGCTAAATAAGAGACATGTAATCATTTACAAAACATCACCATGTTTTTATTTAACAAAATAATGTTGTTTAGTCCACAACTACTGTACAAAAAACATCAGGAAGCCCGCCGGCTCCAAAAACGAACGGGAGGAAATGCTCTCGATTTGTAATCCTAATTTAATCATCATCTTCACCACGATCATTTATGTTTATGTTCGCCGAATTGACATGAAATCACTGACAAATATGAATATACTGTAGTCAACTTCATTACAACGTTATTAACATGCCTAAACTCAGTAATTCACTAAAACATTTTATATTTTAATGGAGCCTCGTCGGCAGATCAGGGTCCCGACGCGTAGCGGAGGGATCTTGATCAGCATGAAGGGTGTTATTTGACCAAGTTATTTTGACCAAGTTGCCGCACATTATCCCGCTTATTACATGGCCACATTCTCAACAAAGTAACGACATGACTCCCAATATTAATTGAAATGCTTTTATGGATTTAGAAAATGTTTTTATTGATTTCAAAAATAGTTGTATGCAGGGGCGTCGCCTGGACCTGAAAACATTCGGGGCTAAGCCCACAGTGGCGGCCGCCGCGGCGCTACAGTAGAATTTTCTACTGCAACACTCCCCACACGCACACACAGTAAACCCGCGACTGTTACAATGAAGGCTCGATAATCAGCTCACGGCATATAGGCAGGGGTAAAGTATTATTTTTTATGAGTGGGGGGCGGACCTCACCTCCTCTAGGGGGGACCTCACCTCCTCTAGGAGGGTCCGGGGGGATGCTCCCCCGGGAAGATTTTTTTTAAATATTGAAGTTGAAAGCATCAATCTGGTGCACTTTGAGAGCAAAATTAAGAGATCTATGGAAACATCTCTCAACACCCAGATGAAACAGAACTGTAAACAGATTTTCTTTTTCTTTATGGATATTTTACAAATCACTCCCCTTTTAAACTCTATTCTTGTTTTACTGCCATATAGACTATAAAGATCATATGAAGGTGTGCCGCAGAAATAATCTTTTGAATAATTTGTGACCAAACCGTTTGAGACCCACTGAGATAACGGCACATTCACACCAGCCTTTTATAGTATACAGTGTGCAACTCGATTTTGACAGGAAAGCAACTGGAGACTTGAATTGTGTGAGTATCATTCTGTTTTTAGACTTCTCTGTTTCAGTGTGTGTACTCTGTATCAATGCTCTGTAGTTGATCTGACTGAAATTGTGATTTTAAATCTCAAAACCGCTACAGTATCTGTCAGGCAGAAACTTGGGACAAGTAATTTGACTGAAACCTTAAAACTGAACTAACTGACTGCTAGGGTTAACTTTGATTTAAACATTTGTAGAATACTAAGAGCTTTATTGAGTAGGTGTAACTGTATTAAGGGTTAAACTCATAACTTTATAACTTAGGGTTTAATGTAATTGTAAAACCATTGGGCCACTTAAAATACAATAACAAGTCAGGAGGGAGCCAGTCTAGATTTCCTTTTGAGGGTCACCAGCTGCAGAGAGTTAACTAATTAAAGGGACGTGGCCCCACAGCTGTGAGAACTCAGCAATCAGGTGTCCATTTTAGGTAGCACTTTCCTGGAGCGTCAGCTTCAGCGTCAGACAGGCTAAGACTGACAAATACAAAGGAGTACTGCGGGAGAAAGACTGACAAAGACAAAGGAGTCCTGCGGGAGTCAGGAGGGAGGCAAAGAGGAGGCAAATCCTACTTTGATTGAGCCAAGTATCGCTTGTGTTTTATTTTTATTTGTTTGTTTAGTCCCTCATGCTATAATCATGTGTATTTTCTCCATTCCTGTTTATGTGTCTTCTCGCAATTATCACTGGCCCCGTGTATCTCGTAATCGATATAACCGGCCTGCTCTCGTCTATCACACATGCTCCACTGAGATCCAACATCTAGTTTCAGGCGGCCTGTGGAATTGCCAGTCAGCTGTTCCTAAGGCTGATTTCATCTCTGGCTATGCTTCCCTGCAGACCCTGGATTTCCTTGCTCTCTCTGAGACCTGGATTACTCCATCCAACATATCCACCCAAGCAGCTCTCTCCACAGCATATTCCTTCTCCCATACACCCAGACCCACTGGCAGAGGAGGTGGCACTGGTCTCCTGCTCTCTCCCAAATGGAGCTTTTCCCTCTTCAAGCTACCTAACTTCACTCCTTCCACCTTTGAATTCCATGCCGTCACAGTAACCCATCCTATACAATTAACCATTGTTGTTCTCTACCGTCCACCAGGCGCCTTGGGGGACTTCTTGGAGGAATTAGATCATCTCCTCTCACACATCCCTGAAACTGGTCCTCTCGCTGTACTTCTCGGAGACTTCAACCTCCAGACAGGGAAGATAGACGAACTAACATCTCTGTTAACCGCCTTTGCTTTCTCACTGTCTCCATCCCCACCAACTCATAAAGCTGGCAATGTCCGTGATCTCATATTCTCAAGGAACTGCTCTACTTCTAACCTCTCTGTAAACCCGCTCCACACATCCGATCACTTCTTCATTTCATTCTCTCTACCCCTTTCCAAACATAACAAACTAATCTCTTCTCATCCTGCACCTGTCCGCCGTAACCTTCGTTCCCTCTCCCCCTCTACCTTTGCCTCATCGGTGCTCTCAGCCCTCCCTTCCTCGGACTCGTTCCAACTCCTACCTCCAAACTCTGCTGCAGAAACTCTCCTCTCTACTCTCTCATCCTCTCTGGGCTCTCTCTGTCCTCTCACATCTCGGCAGGCTCGTCAGTCCCCTCCTGCTCCCTGGCTGAATGATGCACTGCGTGCTAATAGAACCGTCCTTCGGGCAGCAGAGCGGAAATGGTGGAAATCCAAACACCGTGACGACCTCCTAACCTATCAGGCTCTCCTCTCCTCTTTCTCTGCTTCGATCTCTCAGGCAAAAAGCACTTTCTTTCAAGATAAGATCCAATCTTCCTATTCCAATCCCAAAAAACTATTTTCCATCTTCTCCTCCCTACTGGACCCCCCCAAAGCCCCTTCCCCCTCCTCCCTTCTGTCAAGCGACTTTGTTAACCACTTTGAAAAAAAGGTTGATGATATTCGCTCTTCTTTTTCTGACTCACCTCTACTCACCGCTGGGTCACCAGACCCTCCTTTCACCCACACACTGACCTCCTTTTCCCCTCTCTCTCCAAGTGAGGTTCTTACCCTCATTACCTCTGCCCGCCCTACCACCTGTCCTCTGGACCCTATCCCTTCAAACCTCCTTCAGACTATCGCTCCTGATAGTCTACCGTTTCTCACTCATTTCATCAACACTTCTCTAACTTCTGGTCACTTTCCAAACAGTCTCAAGGAGGCAAGAGTAAACCCTCTCCTAAAGAAACCCACTCTCAACCCGTCTGATGTTATAAACTACAGGCCTGTCTCTCTCCTCCCGTTCCTGTCTAAAACACTTGAACGCGCTGTCTTTGAACAACTCTCCTGCTATCTCCATCAGAACAATCTTCTGGATCCGCACCAGTCTGGTTTCAAGGCAGGTCACTCCACAGAAACTGCCCTCCTTGCTGTCACTGAGGAACTGCACACTGCTAAAGCAGCCTCCCTCTCCTCTGTCATCATCATTTTGGACCTGTCTGCTGCATTCGACACGGTGAATCATCAGATCCTCCTTCGCACTCTCCAAGAACTTGGAGTTTCAGGCTCTGCACTTTCCCTCCTCACCTCATACCTCAAAGACCGCACCTACAGGGTTACTTGGAGAGGGTCCGAGTCCGACCCTTGTCAATTAACTACAGGGGTCCCTCAGGGCTCTGTTCTTGGTCCCCTCCTCTTCTCCTTGTACACAAACTCGCTCGGATCAGTCATTAGCCCCGCATGTTTTTCATACCACTGCTACGCTGACGACACCCAATTAATTCTGTCCTTTCCCCGCTCAGAGACCCAGGTCAGCGCACGCATCTCTGCTTGTCTAGCTGAGATCTCTCAGTGGATGTCTGATCATCACCTCAAGCTCAACCTTGACAAGACTGAACTGCTTTTTCTTCCGGGAAAAGATTGTCCCACTCTTGACCTAACAATCAACATCGGCACCATTGTTGTTTCCCCGACTCAGACTGCAAGGAATCTGGGTGTGATCCTAGATAACAACCTGTCCTTCACTGCAAACATCGCTGCTACAACCCGCTGCTGCAGATACATGCTTTACAACATCAGGAGGATGCGTCCCCAGCTGACCCAGAAAGTGACGCAGGTTCTGGTCCAGGCTCTCGTCATCTCACGCCTAGACTACTGCAACTCCCTCCTGGCTGGTCTACCTGCATGTGCCATCCGACCTCTGCAGCTCATCCAGAATGCAGCTGCTCGCCTGGTCTTCAACCTTCCTAAATTCTCCCACACCACGCTCCTCCGCTGCCTTCACTGGCTTCCGATAACTGCTAGAATCCACTTCAAGACAATGGTACTTGCATACCATGCTGCGAATGGATCTGGCCCTTCCTACATCCAGGACATGGTTAAACCGTACACCCCAGCACATGCACTCCGCTCTGCATCAACCAAACGGCTCGCTGCACCCTCGCTGCGAAGGGGACCCAAGTTCCCATCAGCAAAAACACGTGGGTTTGCTATCCTGGCTCCAAA